GGAAAACCTAGCGTGAATAAGACTTTCAATACATAGTAAGCCGGGTGTTTTAGAGCAGACACACTGTGTTGCGTGTTTGCCAAGTATCCCCGCCCGTGAGGCACCGTACCCCCTGCGGCCCAAGTAGAGAATGCAAACCCGCAACACTGTAGTGTCTGCTCCGGTCTGCTCTGAAACATCCGGTAGACCGGTACATACACACGCCTAGTGTTCCGAATGGTAGTGGTGATCAAACTATGAACTACTAGCAGGATATAATTTAAAATATAACAGTAACAACTGTTTGGAGACAGGTTGGCGACACCTTGCGCAGCACGTGGGTCTTGCGGCAGGCCGGACTGCCTCCGCAGCGGTCGCCCCGCAGAGCGCGCCAGCCACCGACAAGTAGTGTCGTTTGTCGGCCAGGGCGAAACTTTGGAGCCCTAAGCGAGCCTGGTGGTACGGCGTGGCGCGGCCTGGCACCGCGAGCTTAACGGCACTTTGAGATTTGCGTTTGCCAGCACCACACGATGTTGTCCGGGGGGGGGGGGTCTTTAGAACAGCATAGCATACCGCGAGGCTCGGCGGCGGTCAGCCCCAGTCCCGCGTCGTGTAGAAATTTTCATGTAATATGGACAAATAATTATCCTAAATCTGCCACTTCTTTCGGTCAGGCCAAATCACGGCGCTTCTTTGTTGCGCGTCTCATTCCATCCCCACAAAGACGAATACCGTCTCCACCATTGTGACGTGTCGCCCTTATATGTCAGGTTGACTCTTGAAGCCACCAGGAAGTTTTATGCTTTCCCTGGCGGCGTTTAATTCTAGATATTTTATTTTTCTTTTCACTTCATCAATCAGTTGTTTTTTTTTTGTTGTTTTTTTTTGTTTTTTTGTTTTTTTGGCAACGGTCATCAATCAGTGGCGTTGACGGGCTGGACGGAGACGGCGACGACGGCGGGGAGGAGCGGTCGCCTTGAGCAGCGCGACGACGGCGCGGCAGCCGGAAGTAGTCGTCGTTGGGCCGGAAGTGGAGCACGAGTGCAACAGCGTCAACTGGAGGCTCACCGGTGGGCCGGAGCCGGCCGCCCGCGCCGGCCCGCTCCTCCCCGCCTAATGCTCTCAGAGAGATTGAGCAGCAGGATCCGTTTGCAGCGCGCGGGATGCTTGCTAAGGGGACGATACGCATGAATGTTTGCGGGGATCGAGAGAGCCGCCGAGACGGACAGAGCAGCCGCCGCCGAGAACGCATACGCGGAGATTCAGCAATATGTCAGGGGGTTTTGTCCGTCAAAAGAGACGGGGCCATTGAAGCATACGAGGGGGAGGGGGGGGCGGAGTGGGAGCTTAGGGAAAGAGAGGGGGCCGCGCTGCTCTCCCCGCTTGGTTAGACAAGTTTTACAAATTTAGCCAACATTCACGCGCGGCACTAACCGCCCTGTTCCACACGCTCTCGAGGCGGTCTCGCCACGTCCCGCCACGTCCCGCCACGCCCGCACTGGAATTCGGAATGGCTCGCTTTGGCGGGGCGGGGAGCCTCGTCCCGCTCGTCCTGTTCCTTCCCTGGTCGTCTGTGCCGCGTCCTCGCAGCACGAGTCCAAGTGCGGCAACAAAAGCAAAGTGCTGCCGGGCCGGGGGCCGCTGGGCCCTGGGCCCGGCCGGACAGGATTACATCGCAGATCATCTTTTGGGCCTCGCGTTCTAGAACGCCCCGCCGGCCCCTCCGCAGTCACTGCCCCGAGTCATGCGCCGCTCCTCCTCACGCGCACTGCGACGTATGCTTATGCTCGGAAACAATGCGTTCGTAATCATATGAAGAATTCTTTGAACATTTACCAAACCAAGTTTTCGAATTGTGAAACGTGAATGGAACTCGTCGTAAGGAACTAAGAGTGCTCATAAACAAACAAATTCGTAACGGATTTTCAAACGGCCTTGTATGGTAGTTGTATGCAATACTGAAGCTGAAGCGCGAAATCTAATTAAGCTAGCAAGCAAATAGGTGCCTCAAATCACGTCCCCTTTCCCGATCAGTGCACAGCTGAAGACCGAGATCGTCCTGTAAGTTCGTCAGAATCATCAAGCAAATCACGGAAGCTCGACGCCTGCGAAACTCGGGCTAGGCCGACCCGCGG